TTTACACTAGGATTGTGTGGCCGGCACCGAATGGACAACAAAAAAGAAAGGAAGAAAGGCAAAAATTGAACAATAAAAGATATACGTACCAGCATTCTTAACACTTCACCCTCTAGACCACTTTCCTTGTACCGACCTTGACTTACCTTCCTTCATGTGAGCTTACTCCAACTTGTTAAACATCACAACTCATTGTTCCTTAGAACTACATTCTCTTATATGGAGCCTCTGACTTCATTTCACTCTAACAAGAGATAATATGAAGTTATTCCAATCTATTATACCTCTCTCTGTTCTACTACAAAATGTTAGGCAAAGTTTGGTGTTCATATCCAAGTGCCTTTCTGCTCTTCTGTTTCTCTTTTTTTCTTCTTCAGAATCTTGATCTGAGAGCACAGCTATGGAACTTCTGACATTTGGAACAAACTTGACGTACGCGTTTCCTCAAGGTCATAGTTTACAGCAAGCGCTCTACGATTTCACTTTATAACAACTATGAACTTAATAAGTTGGGAAGCAAGCTGTGTGCCAACAAATGTTGTAATTTATAGACCATGCCTGTAAAAACGGTGTGTACCTGCACATGCAGAAATACATATTATTAATATTATATGGCTTACTATACACAGTCATGAATGCAAAATGCTAATCGGATAAGTATATCGAGCTCCTAATACTCATAGTTCAATCGACACCATTATAATTGAGTCATTTGATAAGGCTGTCTCGCTTAACTTCACTTAAAAAATTTTAAATGGTGATTCCAACCTTCCCACCATCAAGTGGAAGACACATTCTGATCCATTGTGCTCTGAAAGCACAATTACTCCCTATATAAACCAATAGACTAGGTCTAAGCTGCGAAAACTGAAAAGGACGTACTATATATCAAAAGACTTTACTGCCCTGCATCAGATATACTCTGAACTTGACGAAGTACAAATTCAACACAACAAACATAAACAGGCAGAGGAACATACTGCGCTCACTGTTGCATATAAAGCCCAAGCCCTATGTCGTCTCCTCACGAAACGCATAAGAAAGAACACAGACCACAACATTCACTCCTTACTGCACGATGGAGTGACATGTTATGACCAAACCGACATGTGTGAACTATTAACTGAACGGTTTTCCCACAATGAGAATACATCTCATGCTCCAGAAATCAACACAAAGTGCACCGGCAAAAACTATCTTAGTACCATGGACTTCGACATTAGGAGTATACGTACTTAGTCATTACTTTTACTTACGTCTGTTACTCCCAATGGAGCATAGGCTACCGACCAGAATTCTCCAACCCACTCTGTCCTGAGCCTTCTTTTCTAGTTCCATCCAATTCTTGTTCATTTTTCTCATATGTATCTCCATTTCCTGGAGAAATGTGTTCTTTGGTCTTCCTCTTTTCCTTTTGCCTTGAGGATTCCATGTGAGGGCTTGTCTTGTGACGCAGTTCGGTGCTTTCCTCAATGTGTGTCCTATCCACTTCCAGCGCTTCTTCCTGATTTCTTCCTCCACTTGGATCTGGTTTGTTCTCACCCACAGTAGGTTGCTGCTAATAGTGTCCGGCCAACAGATCCGAAGTATTTTGCGTAGACAACTGCTAATAAACACTTGTATCTTCTGGATGATGGCTTTCTTTGTTCTCCAGGATTCCGCCCCATACAGTAGAATATTTTGGCATTTGTATTGAAAACTCTGACCTTGGTGTTGGTTGACAATTGTTTCGAGTTCCAGATGTTCTTTAGTTGTAGATATGCTGCTTTTGCTTTACTGATTCGCGCTTTCAGATCTGCATCTGAAAAACCATGTTCATCAGTGATGCTGCCGCCATTAAAAACTTTAAACCAAATGCGAGTTCTGGTGTCGGTGACATCCCTTCAGTCCCTTAAAAATAATTAATAATATGTATTTCTGCATGTGCAGGTGCACACCGTTTTTACAGGCATGGTCTATAAATTACAACATTTGTTGGCACACAGCTTGCTTCCCAACTTATTAAGTTCATAGTTGTTATAAAGTGAAATCGTAGAGCGCTTGCTGTAAACTATGACCTTGAGGAAACGCGTACGTCAAGTTTGTTCCAAATGTCAGAAGTTCCATAGCTGTGCTCTCAGATCAAGATTCTGAAGAAGAAAAAAAGAGAAACAGAAGAGCAGAAAGGCACTTGGATATGAACACCAAACTTTGCCTAACATTTTGTAGTAGAACAGAGAGAGGTATAATAGATTGGAATAACTTCATATTATCTCTTGTTAGAGTGAAATGAAGTCAGAGGCTCCATATAAGAGAATGTAGTTCTAAGGAACAATGAGTTGTGATGTTTAACAAGTTGGAGTAAGCTCACATGAAGGAAGGTAAGTCAAGGTCGGTACAAGGAAAGTGGTCTAGAGGGTGAAGTGTTAAGAATGCTGGTACGTATATCTTTTATTGTTCAATTTTTGCCTTTCTTCCTTTCTTTTTTGTTGTCCATTCGGTGCCGGCCACACAATCCTAGTGTAAAAGTCCGAGTTAGCATGCTATAGGTAGTCTTAGTAGAATAGCTAATCCAGCATAACATTGGAAACATGAGTCTGAGTGGTGAGCGTAGGAAGACAATCTATATCACAGATTGATCGACTTATTCTCAATCATGAGGAGCCTGATACATACAAAATGTTCTGTCCCCACAAACACAGGTGGATTGAAGTTATCGCCCTCACCATCAATGCTTGCTGGTCAGTAACTCCACCCTCCCTCCTTTTGTGATGTTAGGCTCATTTAGGCTTATTTTTGTATATACGTCATTCCTCACACAATTCTCTGTTTCACAACCTGTTGGAAAACACTATTTCTATAAGTACCACTTTACGAGTTTATCAGGCAGTTACAAGTTATGGACTGTGGGTAAGGCATCGAAGCAGTGCTTTAATTGACTATAGTATAAAGTATAGTTTGCCAATCAGAGTATAAGCGTTAAGAAGGGTATATTGTAGGATAGTTGTTTATTTAAGCAGGCGGAAAAGGTATAGAAGTATATGAGTTGTGGATAGGGGAACGAGTAGAGAAATAATATTATTTGCTAGTCAATATAGTGTACAGAAGAGTAAACGGTTAATACAGGATAAACAGGAAGGAACCCACAGTAACTGGGTGCTGATGTTATTTTCTGTTGTCCTAACCAGTTGGTTGGTAACAGGCTTCATAGATGCAAGACCACTGGTAGTAGGCAGCCGATTGTGCGGTCCTCTTGACTTTTTAGGGTGGTAGTGAGTGTTCCTTATCGAACGAGTTTAGTTTAACCTTAATGATAGGTCCAGTGAGTTGCCTGTCTACTTCAAGTGAAGAAATAGGGTGGAAAAAGTAATTAATACAACTGCAAAGTAGGAAAAATAAGGCAAACTGAACTTGAAGTCCATTTTGGTCTAGACATGGAGAGAGCCTATGATGTCTTAGTGGGGCGCAGATGTGTTCGTATGTGCAAGATCAGTGCAAGTGAGGGCGTGATCAAGCAGTTTTACAAACGTATGTAATTCATCTGCCATGTGAGTTTCGGAGGGAAGACTGTTCCATATTATTGCATACTTGGTGAGGAAGAAGTTTTCCCGAGTTTTTGATCTGTATTTCTCAACTTTGACCGAAGATACTTTGTTTCGAAGTCCGTATTCATGTGAATCTCGGGCAAGAATTATCTTAAGTGTTGAATAAGTAAGGTTTTTGAGTAGTTTGAAGTAGAGAATCAAATTAGACCTAAGCCTTCTCTCCCAAACGGGTGCTATTCCTAAGATTTGGCATCGGGAACTGTAGTCAATGACCGAGTCAGTCTTAAGTACTTTGCGGGTGAAGTCTCGTTGTATTCCTTCCAGCTCTAGTATATCAGATAAGCGCAGGTTGGAAAATAAGAACGAGCAGTATTCAACGATTGGTCTTACACAGACTTTGTAATAATAAATTTTATATTCTGAAAAATAATAATAATTACAGAATTCACGCCAGTTTACAGGCATGATCAATTTGATATAAATAGTAACGTTAGACGTGCAGAAGAAACATGTGATAAAAGAAAGTTCTAGGTATACTAGTTCAGTAGTTGTTTAAGTAGTAAATATATTACAGCGATCCAATGCATCAGCCGGGAATTTTTAATATTTCTTAAATGGACAGCCTGTTGATTTATGAACGGTGTAATTAAGGTCAATTCGTGTGCCAGATCGAAATAATGATAATTGTCTACAACTAGAGAAATTAAAACGAAAACGCAGAGCACGGAACAACAAAAAAGTAATTATCAAAATATATCAATCCGGTCTACCTAAATGCGTGTGTTATGTGACACAGTGATATACTGGTAATGTTATTCGAATTAGTTAGAGTTGCTAGGGGCGGTGTTAACACATTGACAGCAAGTGGGTGGTTTTACTAAGGGAATTCACTAATAAAGATGGCTAAACATTTAAGGTTCCTAAAATATCACTTGTGGAATGAGATACACTTAAAGGCGCTAGACCATTCAATGCATTTTCAGAGGAGCAGTATGCATCGATGCAGCGAACAAATAATGGGAGTGATTTTATCGTGGGCATAGATTGTGGTAGGTTATTCCAGATTTTTTTTTTTTTTTTTGTGAAGTAATTCATATAAAGAGATGATTTAGAATGAGTTTGTTTCACTAGTGCCAAGGAATTACGGATGTCATAATGAGAGGTTTCTGCATATTGAATCGCGTGATCGGATGTAAACGATAGTTTATGAAGTAGTTTGAAGAAAAAGATAAGATTTAGTTTGAGTCTCCTCCTCCATAAAGGGTCTAGCCCAAGTTTATTACATCTAGAATTATAAGTTAAGGTACAATCAGCTCCAAGAATACGAAGTGTAAATCGTCTCTGTACTGATTCCAGCCTTAATTTATCCTTTATGAGCGCACTGCTAAGAATAAACGTGCAATATTCTAGAAGAGGTCGAGCACAAACTTTGTACATTAGAATACGTGACTCAGTGTTGTAAAGATTTCGAGTTATGTAACCTATTAGACGTTGAGACTTAGAGGTCTGTTTTAATATATGTTCTGTAAACGACAAGTCTTGGGAATATCTAAGTCCTAAGTCTACTACTGTATGTAACCTAGGTAACACTTCTCCATTTATGGTAATGTCTAGGTTGAGTGATGTATCGCCGAAGCATATCCATCCACATTTAGCCGTATTAAGCTCCAGTTGCCATTTTAAGCACCACTGTGCTACCTTGTTAAGCTCCATGCTGATGCAATTTTGCATATTTTTCAGGTCATGTGGAGAAAATGAATATACTACTTTAAGATCATCTGCATATAGAAGGGGCTTACCGACACAAAAACTTTCACAAATATCATTGATAAACACTAAAAAGAGCAAAGGACCTAAGACACTACCTTGTATTACACCACTTCTAACAGGGACAGCGTTAGACAATGAAGAGTTAATTTTAACTATTTGATGTCGATTGCTGAGAAAGGAATCAAGCCAAGCAAGCAAAGGATTTTGAACCCCATAAGATGCGAGCTTACCTATAAGAAGTTGGTGGCTAACCATGTCAAAGGCTTTAGAAATGTCCAGATATAGCACTAAGACTAGATATCCTTGGCTACGTAGAGAATAGACTAAATTAAAGAAGTCAAAATGACATGTCATGCAAGAACGATTTTTAAGAAATCCATGTTGAGTATCATTGATAAATTTTCCAGCAAGTAAATAGTTGGAAAGTTCATCACTTATAATTTTTTCCATAATCCTAGAAATAACTGGAGTAATATTTATTGGCCGGTAATTGTTCATGTCAGTCTTATCTCCAGATTTGTAACGTGGTATGATGTACGCGGTTTTCCAACAGTAAGGGTAAGAACCGGTTTCCATAGAGAGAGTAAACAGCTTTAGAAGAAGAAGTGGAATATCTGGACCACCATATTTGTAGAGAAATGATGAAATCCCGTCTACTCCATGACCTTTCGAAAGCTTAAGGGTATTTATAGCCTTATTAATTTTCATGCATGTGAAGGAGATAGATTTTATTGAGTTGCTAGTCACGCACATAACTCTTGAAGCATAGCCACTTATGTTTTCTACACCATTCGCGAATATACTACTGAAAAGGTCGGCCATGGTTTTAGAGTCGTATATAAAAGTGCTATTATGCTGGATGCACGGTATATCAACATTTCGAGTTGCTTTAGTGCGTTTATTGAAAAGGAGAGTTAAGTTTTGTACTTTCGAGTTAGTATTAAGGGCTAACAGCTCCTCATTAATGGCTTTTAACCTATGTTTCTCTTTAATTTGATTAAAAATTATTGTTATTTGTGCAACTGCTGTGAAGTCGTTTGACTTAAAATAACGATTCTGTAGGCGTTTTAGTTTATTACGATATTTAGCTGGTATATATAATTCGTAAGGTTTACTAAACCTGTACGTTTTAAGAGGTACACTGGAATCTAAACAAGAGTTAATGATCAGATAGAATTCGTCGATAGCATCCATGAGACTATTACATGAAAAAAAGTTATCCCAGTCTGAAAGTTTAATCAATGAATGCAGGAGGTCCCAGTCAGCATGCTTATAGTCTCTATATTGACAGGTTTTTTGAATGGGTGGGTTATAAGAGAGATAGATAGGGAGAGCGCAAACTACTATCTTATGGTCACTGCTTTCAAATTCATCATATACTTTTACAGATAGTGGGATAACATCTCTACTAAATATTAGATCGAGTATACTATCGCCTCTAGTTGGGGCACGAACCCACTGTGACCAGCAGTGCATGTTAATGGTTGCCGAGAACTCATCATTACATGACTGACAACTACCGGTACTCCAGTTGATCCCAGGATAATTGAAATCCCCAGTGATAACCTTAGCATTAAAGTTTAGAGAGGATACATGTATGAATGCATTGATAATAACATCATGATAACGTCATCGGCATAGAGGTAGGTCTTACCTGTGTTAAAACACTTGCATATATTGTTGATGTAGATTATAAAGAGCAATGAACCCAAGACACTACGCTGCAGAACACCACTGGTTATTGGTCGAGGTGTAGATGTATTAGAGTTAATCTTGGTTATTTGATATCTATTCGTAAGAAAAGACTTGATCCATTGCAAAAGGGGATTTATAATTCCAACTGACTTAAGTCTGTTGATTAGAAGATTATGAGGTACTTTATCAAAGGCTTTCTTAATATCGAAGTATAGTATAATAACTAGTTTCTTCTGGTCACGTATGCGAGTTACCTCGTTAAAGAAGTCTGTCAGGCATGTACTGCACGACCTTGTTCTAATGAAGCCGTGTTGTGACGGGTCTATTAGATCTTCCTTGAGTAGGTGATCAGATAGTTGGTTTTCTATCACTTTTTCCATTATGCGTGATATGACTGGAGTGATATTTATAGGTCTGTAGTTTTCAACCAGGTTTCTCGGTCTGGATTTGTGTTTGGGAAGAACATACGTTACCTTCTAGGTTTCCGGATATGTACCTGTCTCTAAAGATAATGTGTATATTTTGAGTAGTAGCGTCTGTATGTTCGGTCCTGACATTTTATAAACGATTGAAGGAATGTCATCGGCACCAGAACTCGAATTTGGCTTAAGGGTTTTAATGGCGGTATGTATATTCCTAATGTCGAAGTCCATGGTACTAAGATAGTTTTTGCCGGTGCACTTTATGTCGATGTCTGGAGCATCAGATGTATTCCCATTGTGAGAAAACCATTCACTTAATAGTTCACACATGTCGGTTTGGTCATAACATGTCACTCCATCGTGCAGTAAGGAGTGAATGTTGTGGTCTGTGTTCTTTCTTATGCGTTTCGTGAGGAGACGACATAGGGCTTGGGCTTTAGATGCAGCAGCGAGCGCAGTACGTTCCTCTACCTGTTTATGCTTGTTGTGTTGAATTTGTACTCCGTCATGTACAGAGTATATTTGGTGCAGGGCACTGAAGTCTTGTGATATATAGTACATCCTTTTCGGTTTTCACAGGTTAGACCTAGTCTATTGGTTTATATAGGGAGTAATTGTTTTAAAACCAATTTTAGAGGGTATAGTAGTGTCTAGTGCAGATTTGGTGGTGATATTGAATATTTCTAATGTTTCTAATCAGGAAGTTTGCTGAGGACATAGTCGCTATAGATTTCCGCTCCAAATTTTTTTGATACATAAACAAGACGACCACTACCCTTCCTGGTAACTCGATCACAGCAGAAGAGCTTATAGGTGTCTATTTGTAGATATGAGTCCGTGTTATCGGAGGACAGCCAACTTTCCGTTATCAAAACACGTGAGAGGTTGTTTAAATGTAATGGGGTGCATAGGTGAGTCATCCTACTTTGTACAGATCGAGCGTTGATTAACATGAGTGTCAGGTACGGTGACTGTTTGTCTAGTAGAAGGGTATGATATAAACCCAGTAAATCATCTGTTTTGCCATGAGAAAAGGAAGAATTGTAAGTGTTCACTCTATATTAAAGAACGTTGAGTTTATTACCAATAAGGTTAATGCGAGAAAGGTAGTCGGAATTTGGGTTAGTGAAATAAGTGTGTGTAGTGATTCACATTTATCACGAGAAACGACTGGTTTAATAAAAACAATTATTATTATAACCAACTGTACCAGTGTTTGTTTTAATGTGCTTTTGTTTGACGGTGCTAATGACAGCTATATTGTGCTTCCATTCTTATTCTCACACTTTGATTGTGACTTCGCGCGAATTCGGTTACGTTCTGTAACCAAGCTTGTATTCTGGCACGATCTCGGTATCCTTTCGATGCCACGAGATCGCCTTCTGATTTACTTGGAACGTGTTTCTTGGTAGTGGTGTTCATAGTTAATCCCGACTCGACACCACGCTACATGTGTTTAAGAATGAAAGGCAGAGTTGAATGGTTTGGTATTGTATTTAGGGAGTGATCGGAAGGTTTTGTCAATGAGCTTTTATGGCTAGAGACAGTTATTGATGTTGAGAAAGATGTGCCACTCCCCATTAGGTTGAAATATAAAGATACTCTCAGAATAGTGGGATTGTCGCTCTCAACATTTGGAGACCCCATAGCGGCACTGTTGAAAAGGAGAGAGATAAAAAAGAATGAGATGGTGTATATGTCGAATTAGGGGGATTAAAGAGTTGTATAGGGTGGCTTGACTTAGATAGTATCTAGAATTAGTAGGTGGGTTCCCAAATAGGCCAACGTTATGGCTTCTTCGTATGCGGTGGGCAACTTGAGTCCTATTATGGGTAGTTGGGGAGGTTGTATGTTTTTGGCAAGGAATGAAAGATTGCCTGATATTGTTGCCAAGAAAGGTGTTTTTGCTGTGTGTAGTTGTGTGCTGGTTCACGGAGCTTTCATGGTCCACACTATATGACTTACGGGTACCGCGTGTAGGTGTGGTTCTTGGCGAGTGTAGTTTTGTAGAATAATTGTCTACTATAACATTAGTGCTGCTCTAATAATAGACCTAATCCTAAATTTGTAGATTTGTCATGATATAACTACCTAATCTGTAAGATCTTGCGTGGAAGTCACACCATCGACTACACCAACTCACTGTATCGTAACAATTACCAATACATGATGGAGAACAAGGTTAGGCTAGAGAAAGAACAATATATTTAATATGAATAGAAGATATAAGGTAACATTCAGCAGAGACCACGCCTGCATGGCTGAGCCATGCCATTCGATCAACTCTAGTCCATTCAATTCATTGTTCGCGCCTTCTCCATCGTTAGGTATTTCTCCACGTTAAATATTCAATGTCTATTTTCCGAGTAGTCTTGTGTCCAGCTTTGAAGATTGTGTGGTTATGGTCTAATGCCATTACAGTTTTACGTTAGAACGAGAGGGTACTGCCAGTTGACTATGTTTGTTGTAGGGCATTCTACTGCTATGAAAAGGTGAGTGTTTTAGGTCAGGGTGCTGGAGTACTGGTGGGTTTTTCAGAGGGTTTAGTATTATTTCGTACAGCTGTGTCTGAGCGTCCATGGCTGTTAAGGCTATCCCTGGGAGGATTATTTTGAGTCCTTTTATCGGGGCAATACTGGGGCACTATTGAGGCATAAGCGGATTGGCATTTCGGGGTAGCTGAGTGTTTGGGCTGAGGATGAGTGGTCCCAGCTACTTTATGTGCAGTCTTGTTCTTAGAATCAATAGCAGCATCCTAAGTGTCTCCGTTTTTGGAAGGGGTGGTGTACGGTGTTCCAGGATTTGTGTAGTGGCAAACGCTGCAACTGCCGCGGCCACGTAGACTGGGTTGATTAGTTCGTATTCCATTGAAGATTCGACGCAGGATAGCAATCCTGTCATGGATGATTCTTATCTTTTTAAATGTTGGAATACGCTTCAGTAATGACTGACTAGGGAGGTGATTAGCTTCAGTGATACTGCCAAACTGAAATAGGATGAGGCAGGAGGCTTTAGTGTGTGGTTTACGTAATCTTCTTGTTGCACACCAAGATTGCGACAATCCACATTCTCGTAGTAGAGTATTTTTTAGCTATCTTTATGTTCGTACTATCAGGTATATTATACACAATGACATTCTGCATACACTGAAGTCTTTTCAACACTTCCGATGATATATAGTCAGTTACTTTCTCATTGTTTTTTACAATTTCGAGATCGAGATTTTCTGGAACACTGATTAAATATTTGTTCGGTAATAAGTCTTGAATAGTTTGGGTGAGGCTAAGTACTGTTTAACTGCTTTTAGATCTACCGGTATTGAGATTATTGGAATTTATATCAAAGTTTTTAAGGTCAATATGGATACATACAAACCTATTGCAAGTGTCTACCGAGTGGTCACCTTGTGCATACTCAGTTGGGGGATGGAGTATATGTCTGGGTGAGTAGTCAAGATCTACATCATCGGGCTGGCTATTGTAGGCAGGCTTACATGTACTCCGTGAGCCGCTACTCAGGATGGCCGATTGTAAAATTGTCGGGTGTTTGGGGTCAGTCGCACTGTCTAAATACTGCTTACAACATGTGATACTTTTGTTTGGACTGAAAATGATGTCGACTCTAATGGTATGTGACTGCTCTTATTTATATATACAAGCGAGATACAAGGTAGTGATATGTCTTGTCCAAGTAAACGGTGCACGTTTAGTGTAGCTGAAGGAAGATCAGAGTAGGATGCAGATTGATCAGTATGTTTATAAGGCTTCACATTATTCGTTTTAGTGACTGATTTAGATCTTTTGCAGGTGCTATAGTCATCAGGAGAGACTATATGTTTTTTAGATGGCCTGGACATTATCGGAAGTAATGTAAATATAAACTTTAATTAAGTGAACAACGACAGTTAAAACTTGGCTTACTAGAGCTGTAAAGTTTTATGATACGATCAGTTCCAGTATTTTTTAAGAGCAAATATAATAACGTTAATGAGCGAAAAGAGGTAACCAACGTGAAAACTATCGAAATTAATGTGTGACGTTGAAATCCAAAAATGAGGTGTCAAGTTGATAGAACCCTACCAGTGACGAATTATTTATCGCTAATAAATGTTAAATTAGAGGGAAAAACTAATAGGAAAATCGAAAATACCACGTGAAAAAAAGGTGCAACAATATACATCCCCTACACCTACTAACCAGCCTTGATTATTCACTACTTGATATATCGATAGCCTATCAAATATATCTTAGAACGTCGACTTTTCTGACTTCTGATTTCACTGGGTTGACACATTTTGATTATAAAAGTTGTTACGTGCAATAGTGTTGTCAAACTCCGAATACTTGCAGACCATAACGGACTTACCTTTAACACTTCAAAGTGTAAAGTAGTCCATCTGCGACATGTCGCAGACTACAGTTATAACTTAGGTAACCCCTCTCTAGTAGTATCCCAAGTCGAAAAAGATTTAGGAGTCTTGGTGCCCTACGATTTAAAGTCTTAGGCTAACTGTGACAAAAACGCCTTCCGAGAAAACCTTGCACTGGTAACATTGAAGCGCATTTTTGGCCAGTTTGACGGAAGAACTTTCCATATAATCTTCAATAGTTTTATCCGTCCCCATTCAGAGTACGGAAATATAATATTTCCCCCCTCACTCCAAAAGGATAAGGACACCCTGGAGCGTGTTCAACGGCGAGCCACAAAATCAGTTCGGGGACTCAAATTTAAACCTTATGAAGAGCGCCTCCATTCACTAGACCTTTACCCATTAGAGTATAGACGTCTTAGAGGTGACCTTCTGATGGCTTATAGTATCCTTACCACTTCTGGACATCCCCTCAAACACCTACTTAAGCTTAGTTCCAACACTAACCTAGGAGGTAACACCCAAAAACTGGAGACACAACATAGCAGAACGGAATGTAGACACAACTTCTACTTCTTAAGAGTTGTCATATGCTGGAATTCGCTGCCTGCCGAGCTAGTCCAAGCGAATTCCCAGGAGTTTTTTAAGAGGCAACTTGATCTATTCTTAAGGCATAAAGATAGTATCACACTATGATTTACTAATTTCTTTTCCTCTTTTATTGTTAACTTACTTAGATTCCTGTCTGGAGGATTTGGTGATCCCTTGCTACTAGACACGGAAGCCTGTTAAGCGAAAGCTTCTTCTATTCCGTCCACAACCATTTGAACCATTTGAATCCAAACCAGTATTCAACGTTAAGCTTACACTATGTGTATTGTAGAATATAACAAACAACACAGAGAAATTGACTGCAAAGTTGCTAAAAGCTGCTTTGTATGTTTATTTTGGACCTTGTTCGGAAGAGCATCTGTACCATGACCCTTATCATATGATGGATATTATTCTCGATCAACTACCTACTTCTCCAAGAAGTTCTAAATTTTCAGTCTCAGGAATGCGAGAGAATCAGATCAGTTATAATCTTAAAATAGAACATCGTCCATAATCTCTATCATTCTGCTAAATCAACATGACACTGTAGTGTTAAATTATAGTCAAGAGGATATATATGTGTAGTGTCAGTTACTATGTTAAGCCCATATAACTTATTCTAACTTCTGGATGGGCCAATTTATCTTCTTGACTACGTTTTGACCTTGTTAATTATTCACTTATCAACCTTGACTGTTTTTATATGAGCATATGTGTGTACACTTCTCATCCTACACATCACATATCTGTAGCTTATTTCTGTGTGACTATAAATATCGAAAAATGACTGCTTCGATAGAGTTGACTAACACGCCTTTCCACCGCGCGTCGTTTAGCTTTGCTCTCTTTTTTCGCTTCGTCCCTCTGATTGACTGTCCACATCAGTGAGTTTTTAAAAAATATATATTCGAAATCCATTCTCGTATTCGAATTATTTAATTTTGTTAATCTCCAGCATGAATTAAGTCGATAATAGTATACGACAGTAGTCAGGACTTATATTTCTACAGCAATCATCCATACGATTCAGTTGTGGTCGGAACAGAAAACGAACGACAAAATTGAATGAACACTAGTTCGTAGTTATAAAAACAGGGTTATGGTTCACTTTATCAGAAGCTGAGATGACGGGATCCTTAAAGAAGTTCTTTAGGAGAACGTTCGACATTTATTTCAAATATGTATCTACTGAGAATGATTATTTCAAGTGTTACCCCAATATCCTTACTGCTATTAATAACTACCTTAATTTCAGTTTAGTTCCAAATGTCTAGTAGCAACACTCATATGTCGCAACAATCAAGAACATTTTTCAACCATTTATGTGTAGATGTCTGAAAACTAACTAGTTCGTTAATTCTGTCACGAAATGTTACATTTTCATACGACCTCATGCATACGTTTGTCCATTAAGCACTGGTAAACTTGTTGTGACTGTTGATTTTTGATTAATTATCTAACCATGAGTTAATATTCCTGCTTTTCAGAATAAGAACGGGTAAAAAGACTATAAACCCGAGATATGGATACTCATGTCCAATGCACAGAATCATCTTTCACCGATATAAAATCAAAAAGAAACTATTTTGGTCAACAGATTTTGAAAAGTTGGAATAAGAATCATCTATATGATGTTTTACATACTTGGACGTTTGATCTGTTTACATGTTTCGAAGGTATATTGCGGTTACTCGCGCGGCGGTTTTGGATGTGTGGGACATTTGATGTTTTCTTTGGACGGCTTTTTCTCCGAACTTTCTCGGTGTACTAGTTTGGTAACCAGTTGTTTGTTTCGTATAAAGTAACTTAGCTCCAATCCATAGTCCCAAGCGTTTGTGATGTTGGACGGCTTGAGAGTACTCCTAATTTTACTTCCGAATATCTGGAGTCGGAAGAAGTTTACGCAGGACTACCTACTGTTTTCAACTCTAAATGCATCAAAAAACAGCTTGAAAGCTGTCTGAAGGCATTGGAAGATACTCCAAAACATCCTGACCAGTCGGTCCGTCAACTGTTAACGCGAGTCGAACTACTTGGAATTCTTGCTTCCTGTCAGAATCTTGTAAGTATTCTAGTTAATTCTGTATTGTCTACCTATCTATTTAAACACACCGATTATTTTTGCGAATTAGGTGGACGTAAAGTGTATTGTTATGTACCTTGCATCGATTGTTGAAATAGGTTTGTGTACAAACCTATTTAAAATGAGTTTTGTATTAATTACAATAATACATTCTTTGGTCCTCGTAAACTCCTGCAAAACCATTAAAACCAAAACTGAGTGTAAGCATATCTGTTGAATCGACATGAAGGTTACTTTTAATACAACTTTTTGGTGTCTAACATACTTATGATCAGTATGTACTCGACCTAAAATTCGGATTAAAATCTGCTGCCATATGACAGCCAGCTTTTCATATATATATATATATATATATATATATATATATATATATATATATCGTAGGTGGCTGTAGAAAATTAGCTCGAAGGTCACTCATTTTCCAGTCAATACCTGACTGTTAGGTTTGGTCTTTGGGCATTGTATGACTATTGATAGTAATGGAGATGCAAGATTCATGTAGTTGTCAGTTATGCATTTAGAACACCCAATTTTCGTCATATTCATGTAAATCAGTATGAATTTTTCCTTACAAACTGTATAAGCTTTAAAATTAAGATTAGATTATGACTAGACTATATTATTACAGCTATCTCTTCAAGATATCTAGTTTGAGAATAAATTGGAGTTAAAGTAAAACATGTTTTATGTAGTCCGGCTTTTTACCCATTTTAATCCACGTTAGACATGTAGAACTAGGAAGTTTAATGTTTGGGTGATTTTCGTTAAAAATTAAGTCGTGAAATCCTACTTGGCGATTTTATGGGACGTCTTTAATATTTGTATTGAACTTCCCAAATATAAAAACATCTGTTAGCATTTGAATGTAACGGGTGTTATGTCTGAGGCACGTCTCGTTTCCAGTTCCATTTATGTTGTTTCATTATTTTTCAATTACCAGCTTCCACTACGTACTGGCTGATGTAATGATTTTTTTAAAATAAAATGGTTTACGTACTTTTAATGTGCTCACACTTATCCCCAAAACATTTTAGTTCGAATTGGAATCGTCAGTATGGAAAGTAATGTTTACAATCAGCGACAACTCAGGAAGGTTTTTGGATGCTTCTTATGCTTTGACAAACTACTGTCTTTCAAAAATTTTTGCATATGAACAAAATACTTCGGTTTATGATACCCTGAATTCAATTCGTACCGAGGTTCTTACAGTTCTTAACAACAGTAATGAAATTTTTGAGTCCACACATGAAGCTTGTTTGACAGGCCGACTCCCTACTCCACATGCACATTTCCAGTCGATGGTTGTATCCCTTGGAAGAGCCTATATCGAACACTATTTCAACGTAAGTTAAATATTCCGTCTATAATACGCGTTGTTTTATAATTTTGCCTGGGACTAAGGCTTCCATCAAATACTGTATTTCTATGTGTTGTGTTACCGAATGAAGTATAGAAACTACTTTTATTTTTATATGAAAGTTATCATCACACCTTTGTAGTTTTTGTCGTAGAGAGGAGAAATAATACGAAGACAACCAACATATCCAAAGTCATATTTAAAGTTGTTAAGTAGCAAAAATGCACACCTCTATTCATGTTATTATGACTTACCAATAATATTCAAAATGTCTCCATTTCCGTATCCATAACAATTAGTTATTTGCTCCTAGAGACAATATATTTGCCGATTTCGAAGTATCAGAACGCGACACGTTGAAGGTTGACAACTGTATTAGTAGTTTCCGTTTCATGGTTATCGTACCAGGTTTTATTAGTATATTCTCTCATCCCCTTAGTTTCCACGATTGGCTCTTTGTGGTTTGGGAAAAATCAATCGTTGGTTGAAATTACAAAATACAAAATCGGAATTATTTACAGACTTGAACTTTATAAAACCCTCATCCACTGTATATTGTTGGAAAGAAGATATCTTGTCAATTCTATTTTTATGCGATCCATACAAATTTGGTAACACATTTTGTATCGTAAACTACCATTAACAATCGACTGACGGATACCAAGTCTTTCAGCTGCAATGTTGAGGATAGTCTCATAGACACATTTACGCTGCTATAATGCGATAATCGGATACTACTACAATCCATATTGTTCCTCACTTACATTTTCTGTTATTCTTGAACTGAAGTTCAAAATTTTATCAAGCCACTGTTACTGGTGGCTTCAAAATACTTTTAAGATGATAAAAAGAATCGGGAATGTCTCTCAAATGTATGTTACTAAAGCTAGTTTTATATCCATGCATTGAGGTTACTTCTGATTGTAATTCGGTAAATTTTTAATCACATATCAACAAGGTTTACTTCACGGTCAGAATCAGCAGTTACCGTCCCCAAATGTATGTACCTTGATCTCTGGTGTCCCGTATTTTTACTGTTCATTTGTAAACTTTTGAGTTGATAATAAACAAATCGAAATAGGGATGAACCTGCATACTTCTCAACAGCTGATGAAGATTTACTGTCACGTTTTGAATTTCTGCCCTCGAAATATCAGCAAACCCTGTTATCAATTTTCTGTTTAATTCTAAACGGTCCAATGGATCTTAATTCCTTTATTCGATATAGATGGGTCGTGTCTAAATCCATATGGGCGAGTCTACAATTTATGGACGACCTTTCAGCGACGCCTAAGTGGCCTTGAGAATGTTAACCTACTGAGTAGGGTTAAATGAGGGCTTTAAACCTGTGTGAAGGATAAGGATTGTGACTTACAGTTTATGGTCGTAGCTGCTACCCTGACGTGGTGGTCGGGCTTGCCTATCGTGTTGACCCAACCGAGCTATATTGGCTGGAACGTATGTTCCTCTAGGTTCTTCCATGCCAGGCAGGTCGATCGGAGAACGGTAAGACTAAAAGCAGCGGCACAAGGTCTGAGGGCGAAGTCGTACTGCTGACTGTAGAGGAGTGTGACAGCAGTAAGGTGTTTCCTTCGGACAACCAGCATCTGTAGCGATGCTGCCTTCTCAAAAGGAAGGAAGGGGTTAGAAAAGGTCGACCATAAAATTATCACACCTCACAGATTTCCGTTTCCGGCGATAGGGCCCTTCGAACAACGGAGCTAACACACTAAAAATCTCCCACAAAAAGGCCGTGTGCGACCGGCCACAAGCAGTTGTCCCTTGGGCTCTGCGGTCACGCTCCCAGGTCGTTAAGACCAACATTAACCTAACTTCCTTTCCAGGTTCCTCGGAAAACATCCTTCCACAGTGTGGGCAGCCGGCAAGTGATATCAGCCCTCATACACGTAACAACACACGAGACCAAGTTGGTCACATTCAAATCCTTCCAAGTGGACTGAGCCATGTTGGTAGGTGCAGACTACGTAATTGGGATCCGCGAGATGGTAGCAACCGATGCTTAGAGACCTTGAATGACATGGCTCAAAATCGTTTGCAATGGCGCAGTTGCATCCACTCTTTGCGTTCTCCCAAATTCTAATCTTCTGAATTCATCATGTCCCTTATTTTCTCTTTCCAAATTTATTTCACTGAATTATACTCCTTGAATAACATCTTCAAACCCTAATCTTTCCGATTACTGCTTATACTCTTACTACCTCTACCACTACGGGATTTGAATTGACAATTGTATCTCTGTGCTAATGTGGTATGGTAACTTGAACTGATGTACGAATGTACGAAGTTCTACGTTGTTACTGACTAGTTAGGTGTAGAGATTAGATTTATTGTTTTCATCACGAACTGATATAAGCTAAAATGTCAGGACTCTATTTAGCCAAATGGATAGTGAATTTCGCACCGAAATCCAAGACCTGTCATCGTAAATCTGATTGTTTCGTCCATAAATTGTAGTCTCGCCTCCTTATGCGCTGTACTCTGAAAGCTAATAGTCAGTATAAGTATTTATATGCATCGATTTCATCCATTTTACTATCATCTTTAAACATGGAAATAAATGTCCAATGGATTAGACCTTTAGGTTATATGCTCGGGATGTGGCCCAAGAAAACAACCCACTTCGGTCTGGGTTATACCGCAGCTCTCATAAACGAAATCATAGTAGTTGAGAAGTCATTCTTGCTTCAAGTCTCAGTCAAATAATCACTTGGTAAAGTTCGTTTTCATTTCTTCTATGCCGTATCACTTATGTACTTTCCTTTATTCTCACTTTGCACATTTTATTTTTCAACATATACAGCAGCTCACCTATGGTGGAAACCCTATTTTGTCTAAAAGATTTCAAGTCACTGACTGATCGAAAGTTGAGTGCTACCATCGAACACGAATTCTGAAACCATGTAATCCATACGGACTGGTTATTTATTTATTTGAACACATATATATTGGTACAGGAGTGCACCGAATATATATGCGCCACACAAAACAATGAGAATCTAAGGAGAGAAAAAAAGTGAGGAACGTAAAAAAGAAGTAATAATAATTAAAAAAAACAATAACAAAGAGATTGGTGTAAGGTAGTGTAATAATAATAGTAATATTAGGGGAACAGAAGGGTACAATCAGAAGAAATCTTTCAGTTAAGGAAGATACAACCACATTTTATGAAGAAAGTAAAAGAAGGTTACATCAGGATCGCCACTGGCTTCTATTCCGAGCCATATCTGATAACGTCTCTAGCCAATGTGTAGCACCATCTCTCGGACCCCAACCAGGGAGTCGTGAAGGACCAACACAAGCCAGCCCCGACACCATGTCATACACTGACCACCTCTCCGCTTTTTACAACCAGCCCCAGAGTCAGCAAATAATGCACGACGAGGAATTCTCTGGGACGACATTCGTAGAACATGTCCAAGCCACCGAAGTCGATGTTTCAATATGGTGACACCGATTGCATTATCGTCTCAGTGCCCGAACACACGATGCCGGACCTCTGCATTACTACTGACATGATGTTGCCACTGGATGTCAGCAATCATTCGGAGACAACGATGATCGAACACAGAGAGTCGTCTAACATCCTCAACTCGGAGAGGCCAGGTTTTACAGGCTTAGAGCAAAACTGCTCTCACCAACGCGTTGTAGATCCGACCTTTTACAGCCAGACTAACATCACGAAGACGCCAAAGATGGCCCAGATTGGCATAAGTCGCTCTGGCTTTCACTATACGTGTATTGATTTCATCACTCACGCCATCATCAGCACTCATGCAGCTACCTAGATACACGAACTTCTCGACTACTTCTATCTGCTCACCATCCAGGGTGAGTACAGGATTAGAATCCTGCCAGTCTTGTAGAAGTACTTTGCACTTCGAAGGTGCGGGATCGTGGATGCGCACCGCTGAGGGGTCTTATACTAGGACGAAACGGCCGTCCAGTGCTTCCAGGTTTTCCATAGTGGTCTAGCTTCAATCTGTGAAATTTCTAAAATCTTCACAAACCCCTTCTGACAATAATTATGTGTCCAAATAAAATAAAAAAATAATGATGTAATTCAAGAAGAAAACATGTTTTAGTTTTTTAAACTAAGCTTATAAGATAATTGGGGATTCAAGGTGGAAGAGAAACAAAAAGGTGAATGAACTTAGGGCCTTGCGAATGATGCTAAACAATGTCACTCAAAATCTCTAACCATTGGTTGTGGTGATCACGTAGTCTTGAACTGGTTAGTTTTGGTCGACCTACACGCATCACTCCAACAGTCAGTTGCTTTATAAACTGATGCTACGTCTTGTTTAAAGATCCACTAGCGCTCTTCCAACTTACTTGTATGACGATGTATACGGTGGATAGTCATATTTATTTATTTGAACACATAAACATTGGTACAATGGGGCACCAAATAGATATGCGCCACACAATAACAATGAAGCCAGTAGCAGTTATCATTGATTTGTGTGAGGGTTGTGATACTGTCCGGGTGCACAAACCGAAGCAAGTGTTTTTCTTAGTGGACGACACCAGGAGCCTTAAACCTAAGGGTCTAATGCACATGACAGTGGAGCAACGTTAGAAGATGCAGTCACATGGTAGCCGGTGACCAACAGCAGTTTCATCATGTCATTTGTTCCTTCAGGATCCTTGAGCTCATTTCTTTCATTGTTTGAAATCAGAGTTTTCCAATTCCCCTAGATGAGTCCTCCATATCTACCGAACCGGTTAATGTGCCGGACATTCGCTTTCCGTCCTCTCAATTTCGTAAACAACATCCCCGCCACGAGAAGGCAGTGAGTAGAACTTCCCTGGTAGTGGTTGTATACGTGTGGCCATGTGAGAGCAATCCGAGAAAGCGGATTCTCCTCCCCCTCGGCCGTATCAGAGAATTCGGGAGCCAGGATAGTCATACGCAATGCATGTCACGATCACCTCGGTTGATGAAGATGCACTACCTTACTAACAAATTTTTTCCATAATTACCTAGTACCCTGCATCGAATCTCAGCATTACTAACTCGATAGCTCCGATATGTACGAGCAATAATTCGAAGACATCTATCGCCGAATACTAGTAACCTATTAATATCCCCTATTTTTAAGAGCCACGTCTCATAGTCATGAAGTAAAATGGGACGAACCATCATACAATATACTGGGACGTTAGTTGGAAGATGGATATCTCGCCTACGCCACCAGTAACACGAGTTAGCAAAAGCCAAACTCTTTCTGGATCCATGCTAAAATTTGGTCACATGTAAACCCACGAGGGTTGGCTAGTTAAGGGGGATGGCTGACACACTGAACTACTTCACTCCATATCTTTAGTTCTGGAGTTGAGGCAGACATTAACGCAGACTCAATCTCAAAAACTACTCTTATAGTTTTGAGTCGGTAGGTGCATCTGTGTTCTAGGACCTAATGAAGAGCTAATACTTGATAGACACATCTAGGTGTGAAATCAGCCTGGTTTTCTCGTGTTTGGTGTTCACGAACCCTAGTAAAGCGTTCGATTATTATCAAGGTCAGTACTTTAGACCCTATATTAGGTAGACGTATTCTTCTGTGGTAATCACGAAACGATTTTTACTGGAACGACCTGCTATCGTAACCACACAGATGAAATTGTATCCAGTCTCAAGTCTAACTTATATCTCAGACAATCTAACACCTGAAACAACTAACATCCTTAAAGACCTGGAGTTTAGTCAGTCAGAGCATGCTGTTCTCTGTTGCTTTAAATTGGCCTTATCCATGGACTTTTTAACTTCACTGACATAGCGTTGCCTGGTATTAGTAAACGATTAGATGGTAGCTAGATTGAAGTTGAACTGTTATTTACATTTTTCTGCCCACCGTTCCAGTCTCAGGCTGTGATTACATTATCGTCCTGTCTTTTTGCAAAATAAATCAACTAACAGCTGAATTTTTAATTCTTACTTCCTTAAGGAGTCTGAAAAGTGTTCTACTGTTGCCTGACGCGACGTCTTTTTCCATCGCTTATGCTTTCGCTAGGAATGATCACTTTGTGGACGTTTTATTAGTCTAATTCTAAGTTTTTTTGTGCTTCCCATCATGTATCGAACCTAATAAAATGTCTTTTCAGGCATCTATCAACTTGGTAAGCGCTACCGGAATCGACTGATTTTCCTAGCTTTTTGGTTATTGTTACTGGTAGATATCACCGCTCGTTTTACAACTATCTGGATATCATTCCTACCTACATCGAAGTGAAAATCACTTTGGGGATCGATTAACTTTACATCTAATTCATCCCCAAATATGCATATGGTTGTGTACTAGTCAGTTTTAAATTATTGTAAATTATCGCGACTTAGTAACCAAGTGTGTAACAGAATTTTTTGTCACATTGTGTTGGAATCAAGAGTAGCAACTAGTTATGATTGTAACGTAAAGCATAGTGTGATTCCTTTAATATATTTTTGGGACTTAGAATCAGTTCCTCCTAACATACTTATATTGTACGTTTGTGTACGGAATAATCTACTGCTGTTCAACATTTTCCTTTCCCTGGAATCATAGTTTGAAGTGCCATTTAGATCATCACATACATTAATTAAAACCATTTCACTTCCTAATGTATATCTGATACGCCTTCAGTTGGTACATTCGTAAACCAGCCCATTAATTTTCAGGTACAAATTCAATATGACGAAGGAGACTACTTTCGTTTTGTTTTCTATCTACTAACTAGAGTGAAGATTCCAAATTGTATAGAAGTCGTTACTCTTTATAGAGACTCCATTCGAACTAGTTTTTATTGTTATAAAATAGGCCCCCAAATGCCCTGGTACGGCCGAGAGTAGGTAGAGTCCGCTCTCCCTCTCGAAATGCTCTCACATGGCCACGCGTATATAGCCTCTGTCAGGGAAGTCCTACTCACTGCCTTCTCGTGGCGGGGGTGTTGTTTACGAAAATGGGAGAACGAAAAGCGAATGTCCGACTCTTTAACCGGATTTCAAACCAATGATGCACATGGGCTCCAGTATCCTGCGGGAACAATTGGCGTATGATCCAGTTATTGATCACCGGCTTCCATGGGAATGGATCTCCTTGCGATGCTCCACTGCCTTGTGGATCAGACCTTCAGGTAGAAGGCTCGGGGGGTGGCCCCCTAAGGAAACCACCTGGTTTGGTTTGGGCGCCCGGGCAGTATCACAGCCCCCATACATATCGAATGAGATTTGTTTGGCACATATGTATTTGGTGCCTCCTTGTACCAATATCTATGTGTTAAAATAAATAAATAACTGTTATAAAATAGCATCCTTATGTGCGAAATATTGACACAAAATACCCATGATAAAATTTCATAAGCAATTGGTAGAAATTTACTCGTATTCGCTCACTGTGCTATCAAGTGAGACCTGATTGTTCAGCCTATTATTCAGACATTGCATTAATTTTACTCTATATACCTAATTTAATTTATGTCACCTTATCGGCAACTGAATTAATATCCATCCTAACGTTTAAATATGTGGTGGTATTAACGGTTAAAATATCGTTCTTGTCTTTGTCAGTGGCCTGCTTTTTCTGCAAACCTGGATCTTATTCGACTGCAGTATAAAGAGTTCTTTGAGGGAAAGTCATGGGCTGTTGTCTGTGCTCGTGGTTACTTCTACTGGCTGCATCTTCATGCTCGCTGCATATTTGGTGCTAACTTTGAGTTGGTCAATACACCTCTTCAGTCAGGCACTCACGATACGTTCCCTCCACCGCCCGTATCTCCTCTGCATGCTGCAGTTATTGTTCGTATGCATGGTCAAACACTAGTGAAATTTATGCGTTTGTGTTGTGAGCAGAAATTACAAAATCGTTCCTGTACAAAACAGCAAGTTAAGGTCGGGATCGGGAAAGAAAATAAAGATCCGTCTGTTGGTCCCAAAAATTTGAAAAAGTTTGTTGAACCAAAGCCAGTACCTTCAGAACTCAAAGTATCTACCGCTGCTTGGTCTTCTGTTTCATTAACAGGTATAAGCAGTTGTTTTCTCAGCTTGTAAGCCTTTCTTATCACCTTACTTGTATAATTTATTCTTAATAATTTTATGGTACTTCATAAAATCTTATATTTTACCTTTAATAAAATGTCACAGGTCTGTTGAAGTTAAACATTTGCACCATTGGATTTCGGGCTAGTGGTCTAGAGGTTAAGTGCCTCGTGCGAGGCCGATGACCCTGGGTTCGGTCCTCCAGTTTTTTCGCAGATGTCCACTGCTAAAGAGCCCTGTACTAGGACGATAAAGCTGTCCAGTATTCCCAGGTTTCCATTGGTTGTCCAACTTAGGTTAGTTTATGATCTCTAAAAATTTACGTAGTTCTCAATCGGCGTTTGTTAGTATGCACAGTGTTTACCTCTAGCTTGTCGGATCTACTTATAGTTATTCGTTGATATTCTGGTTCGCACTTCTAAAGACGGTATTATTAATGTTTAGGAACCTTTCATTACCATTATGTCAAGTCCCCTTATTCGGTTTAGTATTTTTCTACCGCTTAGTATTCTTGAAAATTTCACAGTGCTCCATTGGTTCCCGAATCAATGCGCAACTTGAAAAGAACGTAAATATATTCCAAGCAAAACATTAATGTAATGAATATGTCAGTGAATATATAAACTTTTCACAGGAATGTTTAAGAGTCCTCTTAGTTCACCCAGTGTTAACGGGACATCGATTGGATTAAAGCGTGTTTCGCGCCCGATTGTGTTAGTGCATGCTGATTGGCTGTTTCTTATCCAATCCGCGCTAGTCGATACTTGAAGAAGATTCTAGAATTTTCTCATGTAAAAATTACAAATATACTGACTTTTCTCTTACTGTGCTTCCTACTTCCATCTACTCTTATTATTTGGAGTATGATTTCGTTCCTGTCCAAACGTGTTCTGATTTGGGAACTTGTCAATTGAATCGGTGTCCAAGAATGCCATGCATCAGGAATAGCTAGGTCATAATAGGAGAAATTACAACATGCGGTAGCCCTGATCGATTGTAAGTGGAGCAATCAGCATAAATACTTACTTATGCCTGTTACCCCTCGTCAAGGAAGGAGCATACGTCGACCCCCGGCATTGTCCATCGAACTCTGTCCTGGGCAATCCTTTTCACTTATTTCCAGTTGTTCATTCTTTTGATGTCTGCTTACAATTCTAGACGCAGTGTGTTCTTTGGCTTTCCTCTTTCCCGTTTCCCTTCGGAATTACAAGTTAGCGATTGTCTCTTCATGAATTTTGGTGATTTCCACAATCTATGTCCTATCTACTTCCCATGCATTTTCTTAATTTCCTCTTCAGCTGAAAGCTGGTTTGTTCTCTCCCACAGTAGGCTGTTGCTGATGGTATCCGGCCAATGGGTGTTAAGTATCTTGCGTAGACAACTATTTATAAATACTTGTACCTTCTTGATGATGGTTGTAGTGGTTCTCCACGTTTCAGCTCCATACAGTAGGACTGTCTTCACGTTCGTACTGAATATTCTGACTTGATGATGTGTCTTTCTGAATAGAACGTGGAGCGTCTTTTCAGTCATTTCAGTGTCCGACTTTAATGCTTCAACTGGTATGTTGTCTGGTCTTTCAGTCTTCCCACTCTAGATTTGTCTAATGACCATCCTGATTTCTTCAACTATTGGTGGAGTGTTCAGAGCTATACTAAACTCCTTGACTTTGTCAGTGTCTTGAAGGATTTCTGTATTAAACCTTTGTAATGTTGTTTCTCCGATTGTCCAGTGCTTGCTTCGCTTCAGTTTCATCTTGGCAATCACCAGGTAAACAGCGATCTGAATCTATGCCAGTTCCTATCCTGCTTCTCACGTCTTCCATTGGCCTTCTGAATATTTTAGTGATGCAGATACGATCAATCTGGTTCTGCGTAGTGTGATGCGGTGGAAGGCTTGTAGCTTTGTGTGTGTTTATGAGGAAGTATAGTACCATCAATAATCATTTTGTTGAATGCATATAAATATCTGGTGTTGTCCATTCCGACTTGGGCGTTTAAGTCTCCCATTCGAATGGTCAGGCCCTTTCTTGGACACGCCTTAACAATGGTTTGCAGCCTCGCATGAGACTGATCGTCGTCGATGCTTTAATTGGTGGGTGCATAATATTGGATAACATTAATTGTGATTTCCTTCTTTGTGTTTGAAGGATGCTTTGATGATTCTGGATGCATGATATTTCCATCCCACAAGTGCTTTTTGTGCTTCTTTGAACTGTATCAGTATAACTCCTTGTGTGTGCAGAACATTTTGTTGCCCGTGACTAGAGTACTGCATCATCTCTCCTGAATATAATCTCTTCTTTCCAGCTTGGGTCTAGTGTGTTTCACTGATTCCGAGCACCGACAATTTGTATCGCCTTATTTCCGTAGCTATTTGACTGGTTCTAACCGGTCTTTCACATTGTCCGGATATTCCGTGTACTTATATTAATTGTTGCTGTGATTGTTAGAAGGGACATCATCCTCGTGATTTCTTGAGAATCTCGGCATTCACCATGAGGTGTCATGATTCTTCTGAATGAAGATCGCTGAACTCGGAGTTTAAATTGTTTGTTGTGGTTAGTGTATTTTATTAGGGTTGTTTTCTACGGGATGGGGTTGGTGACCTCATACCTAACCCTCCTCCTTTATCTGGGTTCGGGAACGACAGTAATCCTAGAACAACTACAGGTGGAGTTAGTAATATTCATACTGCAACATAATCTTATCTGTGACTCGCTTTTCTCAATTCGCTGTCCTGCTAACAAAAGGTATATTAACTGTATTTGTTATTTAGGCACTATTGATTAATCTCACCTCATCGATTATTAAGTATACTTTTTATCTCCTAAATAACATGACCGACACAGAAACTAATTACTGAATAAGTGCTGCTTCCAGAGAAGATGGAAAATTTGATGGATTGGTTTGGAAATCAATCTAAATGTTTGTTTGACGTAATTTAACTTTGACCATAACTTTTTAATAAAACAGGATAAAATCTCGACTGCACTGAAAATATTTATTTTCGAACTCTAGGGTTTTTTATAACTGGCAGTCTATCATTAGCGTTCAACATGATTTAAAACTATACTTATACTCCTACGCTATTATTTTCAGAAAATGTTTGCAACTCATCTGGTGACCATGATTGATAAACATTTTTCTGATTGTCATATATCGTCGCATTGTAATTGAGAACTATGATGTTGTTGATTATTTCTAGATAATGAATTACTTAATCTATGGTTGGGAACGCGACTACTTTTATACGGTTGCCATCAAACGGCTGAGTTATATACGCTTCTAGGTACTGTAAGAGAAGCACGTGTGTATCAAAATGAGTTATTATGCGTTGGTCAACGTTTTCACTTATGCAGTTAGTAAGTTAATGTATAAAAGTTAATACCCTCATTGTACTATTCAGATTTTACAGATTAATTAAATACAGTTGAGATTTTCGGGAATCACATACACAGAGTTCATTTGTACCAACCTTTTTATGTTTGCCTTACTTTGTTTTAGTACACAAATTGCTCTGAACTTAATGGCACATCTAGATATGTTTGCTCAGCGTCAATGGGCTTTTGAATTACGTCTGCGACAGCTAAATCACATTGCAACATGTCAAGTGTCTCTTGAGGAACTAGTCACTAAAAGAACTAAGCAAAATTCAAAAGTAAATATGAATTCAAAAGCTACCACGGAAATTGATGAGTCTGCTTTTATTCATTCTAAAACATTTCCCAATCGATCCCTCTACAATGGTCTTGGTGACAATCAGTTGGTGAGAGATACGACGGTAGTAAATTCTTTGTCAAACGATTCATTTTCCGACGGTTCTAATCCTCTTTTGTCCAGCTACAACAGACCATTCAGTTCAATTTTTTCTAGTAGTCCAACACGACGTACATATTTTAATAACAAAAGTGAAGCGGTTGATACCTATCCAAGTGCTACCCAAATTGCTTCCGCAATTGCTGGACAACGACTTACCTCAGAATGGAATGAGTGGTACAGTAAAGGATTCTATATACCTCACACTGTCGATTTTGCCTTTGAGTCTGTAAGCAAGTCCTTCCTGAGTGTTGGTGGATTACCTCTAGGAACCTGTGTTTGTTTAATCCTTAATGGGGTTTCCTGGCCTTGGTTGTTTAACTTGACTCAGGTAGTTCGGAATGAACTGTTACCATCCCCTCATTTCTTACCTGCTTTGTACACTGTTCCATCGGTGCGTGTCAAAGCAGCTGTAAAAACTCGTAATCATGTAAGTAAACTTTCGATACTGTTTTCCTCATTTATTTATTTAACTGAAAATTTCTTTTAAATTATAATGATAAACCCAGTCAATCGTTCACTTCCTTTTATAGATTACAATTACTTAGTTTACTAACTTCACATTGGTTCTCACGAACCTAAGGATATTATAACAGTTTCGGAAACATTCTGAACTTTATACCCAAAAGTAAGGAAATGATAGAAATCAGGATCATTAGTTAACCACGTTGCACTTATGATAGAGATTTCTCGCTAACGTATATATGCAACGGTCATCATTCAAACTTATGTAACTGATAAATTTGCCGCATCTCTAATTTACACAAATAGTGGGTGAAATGAAAAGTATGAAATCAAATAACTGTTAGGATGTCTATGTTATGATAATACATCTGGAAATGAATCTCTATTGCTGTTTTCAGGAAAAAATTATATTAATGACTACATATTTCTATGATGAGCCAAGTCCAGTTTTATTACTTTCCGACATGAATTACTGTCAAGGGTTCAATACCCTCACTCTAATAAGTTTTTTGTTGATTATACTTCCCGTCTAAGTGAACTCTATGTTTATAACCACCTACCAATAATCACTCCGTTGTATATTTTACTGTTGGGTAGCATGTACATGATGACTTGTAATATTTTTGATAGTACTCCAACAGAAAATGAGATTCCTATAATGTAACTGGATTTGAGGTTATAATTGTGGGTTAAATGTTCTAAATAATTCAATATTTGAAACGGTAACATCACATCTGTATCGCTGTTGTTTATTATGTCCCTCTAAATAAGGTTTATCGAATAAAACAAACATCATTCTTTTGTCGTATTCATGTTAAGATTAAAATCTTTTTTTGTAGCTCATATTCGGACATAATCTTAATATTAGTCAACTATAATCCCTCTAAATTCATGTTTTCCGTATTTTTTTGTGACTTTCCAATCCCTCGCTGATTTTGTAGGGAGAGCCTAATAAAAATAAAGATCTCATAGAAGCTTTTTCATTGCTCAGTATCACTCCTACAGAAAATTCATCAGAAACGTGGAATAATAAGATTGAAAAATCATCGTCACCTCAACTTCAGTCAAAGAAAGATTTTCATACTGGCAAACAGTTACCACCTCCTGTACCTAAACCAAATGCTCCCCGTCGTCCAGCAGATAACCGAAACAAAACTATTTTAAATATTTCACCACACAACAGAAGTCGCTGTCAATCGTCCCGTGAGTCATACCATTTAATTTTCAAAGTCTAGTCCTGTTTGTATTATCTAAACAAGATACTATGTGGAGCGTTGGATTCCCAAATCCATCATTCCTACTATTCATCTCTTATAGTTTGAAATCCCGTTTAATTATCTACCAATACAACCTAACCAAGTAAATATTGCAGTGTAAAACCCATTTTAATAGTACTCTGGTTCAAGTTACTACGCCGCGCAACAAAAGTAAATTTATAAAGATGAAAACTACTGACATAAATGAATATTTTAAGTATTTATTCAGTATCTTAAGTACATTTGAATGAAGAGTAATGACATGCTTGATAAGTAGACGAAGACAATTAGTAAGTACATTCGGACCATATTACTTATTAGCCTGTCTAGTTGACCTTTTATTTTTATATATAAATGCTCTTAACATGTATATGTGTGACCAGATTGTTCGAAATGTATTGCGCTAATATATCACATAGTTCTGATAATCTTCGTCTTCTAATATCATTATCGAAATTTATTTTATTTCGTTGTTTAATATTATATATATATATATATATATATATATATATATATATATATATATATAAATGTAATTTATACTACTCTAAAGCTTGTCAATTGATTGTTTGCTGAATTTTTATCCTCGTTCATACCAATTATTTTTCTCTATAGATTATCAACAGGTTGGTAAAGTCACTGAAATTAGTGAGGTAACTATAGAATCCACAATACAAACTAGACGCTGTGATAATCCGTTAACGAATAAAGATATTGTTTTAGATGATCATGAAGCAGATAATGAAATATTGATACCATTGCTTGGTTATACCTTTCGAAAACCAGCTAATTCTCAACCTCTGGAAATATATTGTGACCACTTATCCAAAAATAAAGTGAGTTGACATTGGTTAAAACACTTAATTTCTTCTTTTAAAGCTAGTATGTATTTCTAGTTTTTTGATTACCTCTACTTTGAATTGTTTAAACAGTATGTCAGTTATGCTTAAACGTTCCGACTTTTATCCACTTTAGAACTGTAATGGGTGTTTTGTTCTAGTTTTTGCATTATTTTAACTGAAACTACTCATTTTGTTCTAACTCCCATACCGAAGGTCCTGTATTCGATTTCCGGATGTGACATCGAGGATGCACACTGCTGTGGTGTCCCATACTAGAACGAACTAGTCGTCCAACGCTTCCAGGTTTTCGACTATGGTCTAGCTAAGATCAGTTCGTAGTTTAAACCTATAAAAATTCTGCAATCTACACAAATATTCGTGTTGTGATGTATTTTTATAGTCTTTCAATCTTATCCATTATTTGCCGATATATTACAGTAAAATAGAAATAAACCACGTCAGTTTTAAGACATTTTTAACCAATGATTGACTTCTCACCATAATTCACACATTTTTGTATCAGTACTTAGAAAGTACTTTTTATATTTCATCCTTGTTGTTATTTAGTACTCGTAATTTCGATTACTGTCCGAGTTGAGCTTTTGTCTTCGATTTTTATAATAGTATTCTGAATGAAAAAGTTCATGTTCTTACCTTTTACATAAAATCCCAGTAACCATTTTTTATCATACTAACAATATCAGTATTTCTGTATTGTGTTATCTGTCTGCGAATAGCACAGCACAAAATGAGTTGATGATATATGCCATTTCCTGTTTTATTGGATAGACCGAGTCTAAATAATTTTCCGTTTTAATGAACATTGAAATCATTTAGTTCTAACACTCAAACTGTTTGTATTTGAATGAATTAGTTAATTCTTAGTAGTTGGAAAAATCATTTCAACCCCTTTGCTATTCATCTTGTCACTTTCATCTCGTTTAACTGATGTTTTCTGTCAATCGGACTAACATACATTGAGTATAACTGACCTGTGTACCTCCACTTTATTGGTGTTTCTAAAGATTTCTAAGTTGATTGTTTATAATTGCCACTTTTCCCTCCACACGTTTCTTCCGAAATTGTTATTCCCTGTATTTTTTAAATATACGTACAGATTTAATCAGTGTGAAGTTTTAATTTAGTTGAATTAGTCCATTTGGTGAACCGTAGTATTTTCCTTTTTCTCTTTGATACACCATTATCGCTGCTACAATCAAATAGACGTTTCTGAAAATTCGCATAATATGTACACTTATGTTTAGGTTAAATTGTTCAGTGACAACTAGCTTCTTAGCGAAACATTATATGTGTTTTAAACTTAGGTTTGTTTAGATACAGAGGTAACTTAGTAATGGCTTCATGAATCTTGTTACCTATTACTATCTAGGAGACAGTGCGATTCATCTTCGTTATAACGATTATGAGGATAGGAGAACGACGACAAAAAAGATTAGACTATCTGGGACCCAAACTTAAACCTCATTTTATTAGTTATCTACTTGGCATGTTATGTGATTTTCTGGCTATGTGGTGAGTGAGCGTTGGACAACTGGATTTCGAACCATTAGGCTTTAGGTAGTACTCTTCGCTGTTTTCTCACTGTCATCGTATGATTGGTGTTATGTAGACAATCCTGGTGAAATAGTAATTGGAATAGATCGTATAGCTGCTCTCCTGTAATTACAGTTCTCTCACACGGGCCCCAATATAGTCTAAACATCTGTTTTTTTTTCGTTATTTCGTGGTCGTATTTTAACTGCAATTAACCGGTCCATAAACTTAACTTTCTGGATTTTTACTACTCAGTGAATATGCATTTCGAATTTTCATTATATTTGTAGTAATGGTTTAGACTTAATCATATTTAATTTTTGAACACCATAAGCTGTTAAGGAAATTAGTTTTTAAGTATTTGTACTTTGTATTTGTTATATCATGTATTCACCATTAAACTTTTCATTCGACAAATACAGAATGTTTCGAGGAAAAAAGAAAACAAAAATATAAGCTCGGGCAAAGGCCATACCATAGTTCTAGACCCAGTGGAATCATGTTCTTCTTTAATTGATGCGCCTTTGCGTCCACGTAGCGTCAGGTTAGCGTCCAAGTGGGCTGCTAATCAAATCAAGACAAAATTGGTCAATACATTATGTGAAGAAAATCCTCTGTTATCGGAGAATACAGATCAGATGAGTCAGGTTTCTAATAATATGGCTACACGTTTGTATGGCGCTTATCAGCAACTATCTAGCTTTCCAGTCCCAAATCTATTACGTCCTATATGCCAATGGCTGGGTATTTATTGGTTAGGAAAAGGTGATCAACTACAAGCGGGAAGATTTTTATCTCAAGCTATCGGTATTGGACCCACAACCTTGTACTTATCTATCCTAAGCTCTCGGATAATGTAAGTTTTCTTTTACAAGAATTTTACCACTTGATCTCATGAAGATACACATGTTATAAGGAAAACCATATTGTTGATTGATACATTTCGAATTTTTTTAAACCAAGATTATCTTAGATTTCACATCGTAGTTAATCAAATGCTAACTTAGTATGGGTTCGTATTCTTAGCTTAAAGCTATAAATCTTGAATGAGATTTATTAATAATACGTGGTTACATAAGTCAATGTATGTTGAAAGAAATTCGGTTCTGTGACCTAGTCAAGATTGTTGTATATCTACGTGCCTGGCGTGGTAGATTTATTTAGTTGTCCATTTTGCCTCTGGTTTATATTTGGTCTATCCACGGATAATATATAATTAATTTGTGTACTCAGAATTCCATTCACTGCTTCAATTTCTTCTGAGTTCTTTTCAGATTACTTTTGCCCTATATATATATTATAATGCAATCAATATATACCCTAAATGTGTTTTCGTATATTATTTGTTTGTCACTAATTAGATTCTTATGTTATGGTCACTTAATCATTTATATTTTTTATACCAGTCATTTGAAGTCATCTGATTCTCAAGATTCTGTTTCTGATCGCAACAAAAAATGTAACTGGTTCCCTATTTTGAATCGAGTGATGACTATTTGTGCTCCTAATAATTTTCTAATGGAAAATGTAATTCAGATGCCTACTTGTGACGATAATAGTTCACTTACAGTTCGGGTTATTCAACTCTGTCTTGTTGATGAACTCAGTTGCAAGTCTAATTTAATTGATAAAAGTGATGGTATTTACCATCACACTATTTCTCCATATGGACTCGGTGCTCGTTCCGGAGGTTACTTACTAGTATCGCGTTATATAGGTATTTCTGGTCAATCTTTAAGAACATTTGAAGTGGAGACACGTGTTATGCATGGATTCACTCATTCTGTAAGTTCATAAAAAAGAAAATTTAAATTGTACAATGTTGCTCCTTTCTATACCACACGTGTGACTAGCATGACAGCTGTTGTTAAAATTGTTACCACCTCAATGAGAATAGCATAATATTTTAACTTGTTAACTTAGTTCAAGTGAAATTGAAATCGTCCAATGATAATAACTAGTTTACCAATTTTTTGTCTTCATTGACTGAAGATTCGACTACACCAATATATAGAAATCTTTTTTGTAACTTAGTAGTGTTTAAAACATAATTACAACTAACGTTTTTAATAATCCATATAGACTTTCTACAGAATAATTGTAACATATTGCGAGAAGTTACGAAGTATTTACATAATATATATACGTAGCGTTCAACCGTCCATTTGTCTCCTTCCGAGTGTTCTGCCAACTCCGTGATTTCGCCGCACTGAAACCTTTCACTCTGTCTGACAACTCCAAGGCCACGTTTCGCAACATACTGCTGACAAACAATCTTGTGAGTAGCGTGCACTAAAATAATTCAGTGAATCGGTGCTTTCGTTTGTTGTGATGGAGTAATTTAGGAAAATTGTCACGTAGTTAGTCATTAATTGTGTTTTCATGCATTCCATGTTTATGTAGGTCTTCCAGTCTACAGATGTTAGACATCTGGATTTAAGTTTTCTACGCTCTTCAATACAATATTAAACATTTTAAAGCTCGTTTAATATGATTTATCACGTCTTTCCTTCATGATGGTATCTACGTATTTTACCAGTTGTCTAAGCTGACTGTATGCTAAATCAATTAGGATTATTATTATTTGCTGCCGAAGTTTTTTGTGATATATATACATCACTGCTATAATTTATAATTCATTTTAGAATTTGCATTAACTCTATTGGTTGTAAGCATTATCATTTTTCATCTGTGTATCTGATTTTGCCGTATGATTATTGGGTTAATAAGTACCAATTTTTTTAACTCGCTGTAGATAAACTCCGTTTGCTAGCACAAAGGTTACTTTGTTTTTAGAACAACACAATATTCTACAGTAACTAATGTCATCATCCTAACTTGTTGGGATATTATATTAAACTAATTCAATGAATGTAATGTTATTTTATACAGCGTTATTCCTAAAGCTGGACAATCATATTTTTAGTTATTTAGCTTAAATATACGTATGATAAAACAAGTGGATACTCCATTGTTTAAAAGTTGGTGGAAAGTGTTTATATGTATCAAGATTAAATAATGTGAACTAATGAGAAATAAAAAGGTAAAAAGTTACTTAAATGGAAGATAATTGTTCACCCAAAGAACATTTTTAAAAATTGAATATGAAGACGTATTTTCGTTACCTTTCTTCACGTGGGACATTGTTTTTTTCAAATAACACTATCTTATCTGCAATTTAAATAAAACTTATTCTAAATCGATCTTTTCATGTTTATCTTTTCCAAAGGGTTTTAAATATATGGATAGTTTTGATGAAATTCAAACGGAGAGTCTTGATTCGATGGCTATTGAAGATCGTGCTAATTACTGGCGTATACGTTATAACTTGGATGAACGACTAGAAGTATGGCATGTTTTTCATTGTGTTTATTGCGTGTGCTTTCCCTTATTTTATGTGCGGAAACAAAAGCTTTTTTAAACCTTATTCATTTAGCTTTTTCATTGACATTTTCGTCGTTGAAGAAAATTCGTTATCTCTTTTTCATTGTTTTTCATTTTAGTTTTGATCTCATTACCATAATATATATAAGTAAAATTATCGTTTCTATTAAATTAACTAATGTAGATCATTTCCAAATACTGATTCGTGCACTCAACGCTGAGCCACATTGTTTGTATGAAGGTTAGTGATACTACCCGTCACCCCACCACACAGAAACACATGAGACCGAGGTTCTATGTTTCCACTTACTAATTAGAAGTTTATAGCTTTTGCCACTCAGTCACCTCTTCACTTTATTATGTTTAAGGTTTACTACATTGATTGCAGTTTGCTTTATCTAAAATGTGCCTTTCTTATAAACTAACACATTGGCAATATGTTTCCTATGCAGAAAAGCAATATACTAGTATCCGACTAGTTTTCGTGTTTCCTATTCTATTAATGTAAAAACAATTTTCGGTGTGCAAACGAAATAGTTCTCGATATTACAATTAATGTTACCACAAACATAGGTGATTAATCATCGGTCGTTTTTATGACCTTGAATTTCATCTGTGATTATTCATTTATTAACTTACTGGTTAATTATAGTCATGCTATTTAAATCAAATGTTTTTTATATCAATAATATGGTTATTATCTCAGCATACTTCCAATTACCCACTCTATTGACCAGTGGTTCTGATTTCGATCCGATTCGAATAGGGGTACGTAATAGTTTGACCATTTCTATCATTACTCATAATTTTATAATTCAGCTGAACTGTTATCATAAATGCAAGCACTTTTCATATTCATTTAAAATCGTAATTTATTTAATGTATATAAGCACATTTTAATTTGGCCACTCTATTTACTGACACTGGTCAAAATAGCAGAACATCCAAGGCCAGTATACTACCAAAACTCTACAAATTCAATACAATAAATGATTTCAACCTTGCTGAAATAGCTAACATGTTTACTTTCAAAATATCATTTCTCTCATTAGTTATATTTTACCACAACTTAGCTACCTATGTAAATCCTTTCAACCTATGTTCCAAGGATTGTTAGCTTAATATATGGTAGAACACAACTTGTCTTTTGAATACTTCGAAATTTTGTGTTTTTCAGATAAGTTTCCACTTATGTACTTCGGTATCTATAATTTAAAATTAGTGTCTAAATAGATCGACAGGTTGCTAAAACCAAAAGATTTATGTGGTCAATTCACTTTTCAAGCGTTATATTTTCGAATAATGCTTTTTAATATGCTTCATCATATATCTTTACGTGTATTACTTGTATGGTGATATATGATTTAATTCACCTATATAATTCTTAACTTTCAAAATCCGACAAATTAGTTTCTTCATAAAAAATTTTAAGTTTTATCCCAGCATTCATTTTTAGTCCTTTGAAATAATTTTGTAGAATTTACTTACTGAAATACGTCGTGAATGGTTTACTAAAGATGATCTAGATTGGTTATTCAGTCGAGAGAAATATTGTCGTAATAATGAACCCCAAAATGATTATAACCTCCTTCTGTAGTCATTATTCCGGATCGAGTAAGTTTAACACTAGCTTTTCTAGCACACTCAACTATGTATTGATTTTTTGGAACATTTTTTGTGTAGTTAAATAAAATAGCATTAATATTTACTTAGTGTTCTGTTTAGGGTCTACTTATCTAACGTACACAAGCGAAGACGCACGTAGCATTTTTAGCTTTGTACTTCTATTTGCTTTATTCTTTGGGAATTAAATTAGCTTTTCGGTTGTTATAAATAAATAACTGTTTGCAAGTCTTTTATGTTATATTTGAATGTGCAGATTTTTTAAACTATTCTCTAGTCCTCACCTGTTTGTTTCAATTTTCGTAAGTGTGAAAAAATTCTTCGACGAGACGCATTTATCTTGCGTAAAAATCTAAAGACTTTCCAAGCAATTGGTGAAAGTAATCTTGTTGAATAACTTTGTGACTGCACTTGATTCACATTTCTGATGTTCGCAGGATTAATGAGACAAGTAATAAGGAAATTCCTGCAACTGTAATCCCAATAACCAACTAGGATGTACGATGTTTACCTTTTATTACTATTCTTACAATAACAAGACTAGGATGATTATCCATTGTAAAATCAAACCTCTGTAAAGTCGATCTCAGCTGTACATCATGTTTGCTAAATAGGCGTCAGTTATCATTTACACTTGAATTTAACATGTTTGTTTCCGAAAACTAACGTACGTCCATGACTGATATCAGAGATTCGGTTAAATATTTACTATCCAACTGAACAGTGTCAGAACATCAAGTTACAAAAGTCAGCTGGGATTACATTTTCAAAAGACCAAGAACATTAACTCGTGGGCTTATAGTGTTATCAATTATCCCGTTTTTATATTGGGATTTAGAATATACCCACACAAAATCCAAAAATGAAAGCTTTTGACGACAAGGATGATATTTATGCTATTTGGTGATTGTTGACAAACAGCGTTTTTAGCTGCTCTTACAATAAGAGTTGTGGCAACGTATAGCATAGTCAATTATTACTTCATAAAGTCAAAAAACATATTGACTTTAATATTCGCTCAGAAGAGGGACATTTCATGTATTTTTATTCACTCTGTAGTAAGAATATACCAATAAATTTCAATTACGACCTAACTTGTAAAAGTTACTACACTTATCAATCAATACAATATGTATCCTATCATATATGTTGATTAAAGTCCATCAAGCACCTAATACTTCATGAACTGATGTTTGAAACCGCGTAGTGGAGAGAGATTTCATTTCAGTTGGGTTTTGGGTATCAAGGTGAATCCAGAGGTTCAATTTCCTGTTTGAGATATTGAATCGCACTAGCCCCTTTGACCAGTTTAGATTACTTCTGTCACTTTTTTAGTTTTGAGATGATGCTTTCCTAGTTTATTACAAATAACTTATAAAACGTTTGTTTTTTGATGACCAGATGTTATCCTTCTCATTTTTTATATCTTGTCTTTTCACTCTCTAGCGACTAGTTTATTTACCTTGGGAATGGATACTATGGGATCGTAATCCAACTTCATGTACTCCAACAATGACTCGTAGCTTCAGCTTACCTTTAGTTGTTGGTCACTTGGCAACCCAGTATATGCCTTGTCAGAATATTGAGGCTAACATTTCTCCCAATGCTGAACATATGAAATTATGTTCTTTTAATCCTGAGCGTGCATTTTATATCCTTAACCCAGAATCCAACCTACCCTCTACTCAACAAACCTTTGAACCGATATTCCACAACCTATCCAGTTGGACAGGTGTCATTGGAAGAATTCCAACTTTAGAGGAGGTGAACAATGGTTTCACAAATCATGATCTTCTAATGTACGTTTGAAAGTGCTTTCATTAAACTTATTTTCTTTCCATGAAAAAGATGTATATTTTAATTATTCTCGTTAAACAAGTAAAACTTTTGTTTTCGTAGGCTTGTCGACACTTAAATATTCTGCTTATCGTTTTGTTATTATTAGTCAATAATCTGTTTTGTTATCTTTTATCAATATATTTCTCAGCAGCTGTCTAATTACTTACGTGCATTCGTTTTACTTACAGATTTTTGGGTCATGGGAATGGTTCGCAATTTCTACTACACACTTTCAATCAAGGTCTCAATGCACGCTCCGTTACCTTGATTCTTGGCTGTAGTTCCGGTAAACCTCGTAGTGCTGGACGACATGAACCTTATACTTCACTATTTAATCATCTTATTGCTGGATGGTATGTGAATCGTATTTTGTATTATACATGTAATTAGTTAGACTAGCTTGCCATTTTATTCTATGTAAACTATTTCATCTACCATTGAATGAGTGAGTAGTACTCAAGTGTAACCTTTGTACTGCCTTTGTGGGTAGAATAGTAGATCACTTTTCTCCAGCTCAATATATTCAGCATTATGAGTTTGTTTTATTTCTAAAAAGTTTTTTATTACCATAACGGTATATCCACCATATTTTAATGATATCATCTTTATAACAAGTAAATCTACGTTTTTTATTTCTCTTATAGTCCCTTTGTTTGCGGATTGTTATGGGATGTTACTGATCGGGACGTTGATAGATTTACTTTACAATTCCTGACTAATTGGCTGGGAAAAGATGGTTCTGATGACGGACGTGATGCAAAACCACATGGAACTTTAGGACAGTCTATTTTTAACGCAACTTCGGCTTGTAAACTGAAGCATCTTGTTGGAAAATCAGTCATTGTTTATGGGATCCCCTCTGAACCTGAAAGAAGATCACTTCTGAAATTTCCATCCTCACTTGTTAAAAAATGAATTGGACTTCTTACAATTTGACGTATTATCTTCAATTATTGTACATTACCTGAATTGTGTAGATTAATTCTAATGGACGTTCTGCTCCGTTTATATATAGTCCTCAAATTTTGAACCTTTTTTACTTGCTTCGGTCGGCCGTTTGTAAATGTGTTTAAGTTGTTTTCTAACCAATTTTACCTACATCATAGATCTTTCTTTTTTATTATCAGAGAATATTTTAGTGCGTTGCTGTGATTTCTCTACCAACCGGGTTAGTTTAATTACAATTAATGAAACGTAAACCGTATCTACTCCCGAACTTAATATTTGGTTATTAAATTCGGTCACCCTTACACGCCGCGAACGGCTTATTCTCTAAGTTGGTTGGACTGACAGTAGGTGCTTCTACTGCTACCAAGGGCGATGGGACAGTGCATGACGCCGTTGTTGTGTGCTGGGTTCAAAGAGACTTATGCTATATGCATGCAGTTTGCCCCATTATTTCTCCTCGGAACCCAAATGCCTTCACGTGTTCTTCAGTATAAATTCACTGCTGGAGAATTCCCACTCGCTGCCTTTATGTGGCGGGTGTGTTAACATAATTTAGAGGACAAATAGCGAATGTTCTGCGTTTTAATCGGGTTGGTGGGCACAGAGGGTCCACCTATGGGAGTTGAAAAACTCGGATTCAAGACCAATGCCGCACATGGGCTGCATGACCCTATTGGAGTCTATTGTTTGTCACTCGCTAACGTGGAGTTGCGTCTCTCAACGTTGACCCACTGTTTTGTGGATTAGACCTTTAGGTTATATGCTCGGGATGTGGCCCAAGAAAACAACCCACTTCGGTCTGGGTTATACCGCAGCTCTCATAAACGAAATCATAGTAGTTGAGAAGTCATTCTTGCTTCAAGTCTCAGTCAAATAATCACTTGGTAAAGTTCGTTTTCATTTCTTCTATGCCGTATCACTTATGTACTTTCCTTTATTCTCACTTTGCACATTTTATTTTTCAACATATACAGCAGCTCACCTATGGTGGAAACCCTATTTTGTCTAAAAGATTTCAAGTCACTGACTGATCGAAAGTTGAGTGCTACCATCGAACACGAATTCTGAAACCATGTAATCCATACGGACTGGTTATTTATTTATTTGAACACATATATATTGGTACAGGAGTGCACCGAATATATATGCGCCACACAAAACAATGAGAATCTAAGGAGAGAAAAAAAGTGAGGAACGTAAAAAGAAGTAATAATAATTAAAAAAAACAATAACAAAGAGATTGGTGTAAGGTAGTGTAATAATAATAGTAATATTAGGGGAACAGAAGGGTACAATCAGAAGAAATCTTTCAGTTAAGGAAGATACAACCACATTTTATGAAGAAAGTAAAAGAAGGTTACATCAGGATCGCCACTGGCTTCTATTCCGAGCCATATCTGATAACGTCTCTAGCCAATGTGTAGCACCATCTCTCGGACCCCAACCAGGGAGTCGTGAAGGACCAACACAAGCCAGCCCCGACACACAACCCCGACACCATGTCATACACTGACCACCTCTCCGCTTTTTACAACCAGCCCCAGAGTCAGCAAATAATGCACGACGAGGAATTCTCTGGGACGACATTCGTAGAACATGTCCAAGCCACCGAAGTCGATGTTTCAATATGGTGACACCGATTGCATTATCGTCTCAGTGCCCGAACACACGATGCCGGACCTCTGCATTACTACTGACATGATGTTGCCACTGGATGTCAGCAATCATTCGGAGACAACGATGATCGAACACAGAGAGTCGTCTAACATCCTCAACTCGGAGAGGCCAGGTTTTACAGGCTTAGAGCAAAACTGCTCTCACCAACGCGTTGTAGATCCGACCTTTTACAGCCAGACTAACATCACGAAGACGCCAAAGATGGCCCAGATTGGCATAAGTCGCTCTGGCTTTCACTATACGTGTATTGATTTCATCACTCACGCCATCATCAGCACTCATGCAGCTACCTAGATACACGAACTTCTCAACTACTTCTATCTGCTCACCACCCAGGGTGAGTACAGGATTAGAATCCTGCCAGTCTTGTAGAAGAACTTTGCACTTCGAAGGTGCAAAGCACATACCATACCTACGGACACTGATTGCCAACTGATTAAGTGCGGATTGCATTCCTTTGACATTATCGCACAGTAAGACAATATCATCCGCATACTCAAGGTCGAGAAGTCCTTCTCCAGGCAACAGATCCACGCCACCATTACTTACATCCATCACAGCTGTTTCCAGAATGTCGTCGATCGCAAAGTTGGAGAGGAATGGTGAGATTGGGCAACCCTGCCTAACCCCACTGCTCGAATGGAACAATGGAGAGAGGTGGTTGTATGCCCTCACTCTGCCTGAGGTGTTTTAATATACGGCTTTTAGGACGTCAATAAACTTCTCAGGCATACCCTTCTTCAATAGACAATCCCAGAGAACAGTCCTATCCAACGAATTGAAGGCAGCCCTGATGTCAAGAAACACTACGATTGTTGGCCTTTGATAAGTATGGCAGTGTTCCAACATTTGGCGGAGGGTGATCAATACATCCTTGACCAGAACTAAAACCAGCCTGTTCCTCGCGAGTTAATCTTTCCCGGGTTTTAAACAACCTACGAAGTATGACGGAAGCCAATAGCTTGGATGCAATCGGAAGTAGACTTATCCCCCGATAGTGGTTACAAGAACGACGTGAACCCTTCTTAAAGATAGGGACAACTATCGACTCATTCCATGACGTTGGCACATTCTCTAGCTCCCACACCTTTGTAAACAACGTCGTCAGTTCCTTAGTCAGAAAGTCACCACCATCTTTAAAAAGAGCCGGAGGTAAGTCACCTGGGCCAGATGACTTGTAGCGCCTCAAGAGTCGCAGTTCCTTGAGGACTTCCGCCTCATTTGGTGGATCAGTCGTCACCGGCCATGGAGGGAAGGACAGTCTGACCGATGTTGCTGGAGCAGCAGGCCAGTTGAACTGCCCGCAGCTCTCATAAACGAAATCATAGTAGTTGAGAAGTCATTCTTGCTTCAAGTCTCAGTCAAATAATCACTTGGTAAAGTTCGTTTTCATTTCTTCTATGCCGTATCACTTATGTACTTTCCTTTATTCTCACTTTGCACATTTTATTTTTCAACATATACAGCAGCTCACCTATGGTGGAAACCCTATTTTGTCTAAAAGATTTCAAGTCACTGACTGATCGAAAGTTGAGTGCTACCATCGAACACGAATTCTGAAACCATGTAATCCATACGGACTGGTTATTTATTTATTTGAACACATATATATTGGTACAGGAGTGCACCGAATATATATGCGCCACACAAAACAATGAGAATCTAAGGAGAGAAAAAAAGTGAGGAACGTAAAAACGAAGTAATAATAATTAAAAAAAACAATAACAAAGAGATTGGTGTAAGGTAGTGTAATAATAATAGTAATATTAGGGGAACAGAAGGGTACAATCAGAAGAAATCTTTCAGTTAAGGAAGATACAACCACATTTTATGAAGAAAGTAAAAGAAGGTTACATCAGGATCGCCACTGGCTTCTATTCCGAGCCATATCTGATAACGTCTCTAGCCAATGTGTAGCACCATCTCTCGGACCCCAACCAGGGAGTCGTGAAGGACCAACACAAGCCAGCCCCGACACACAACCCCGACACCATGTCATACACTGACCACCTCTCCGCTTTTTACAACCAGCCCCAGAGTCAGCAAATAATGCACGACGAGGAATTCTCTGGGACGACATTCGTAGAACATGTCCAAGCCACCGAAGTCGATGTTTCAATATGGTGACACCGATTGCATTATCGTCTCAGTGCCCGAACACACGATGCCGGACCTCTGCATTACTACTGACATGATGTTGCCACTGGATGTCAGCAATCATTCGGAGACAACGATGATCGAACACAGAGAGTCGTCTAACATCCTCAACTCGGAGAGGCCAGGTTTTACAGGCTTAGAGCAAAACTGCTCTCACCAACGCGTTGTAGATCCGACCTTTTACAGCCAGACTAACATCACGAAGACGCCAAAGATGGCCCAGATTGGCATAAGTCGCTCTGGCTTTCACTATACGTGTATTGATTTCATCACTCACGCCATCATCAGCACTCATGCAGCTACCTAGATACACGAACTTCTCAACTACTTCTATCTGCTCACCACCCAGGGTGAGTACAGGATTAGAATCCTGCCAGTCTTGTAGAAGAACTTTGCACTTCGAAGGTGCAAAGCACATACCATACCTACGGACACTGATTGCCAACTGATTAAGTGCGGATTGCATTCCTTTGACATTATCGCACAGTAAGACAATATCATCCGCATACTCAGGGTCGAGAAGTCCTTCTCCAGGCAACAGATCCACGCCACCATTACTTACATCCATCACAGCTGTTTCCAGAATGTCGTCGATCGCAAAGTTGGAGAGGAATGGTGAGATTGGGCAACCCTGCCTAACCCCACTGCTCGAATGGAACAATGGAGAGAGGTGGTTGTATGCCCTCACTCTGCCTGAGGTGTTTTAATATACGGCTTTTAGGACGTCAATAAACTTCTCAGGCATACCCTTCTTCAATAGACAATCCCAGAGAACAGTCCTATCCAACGAATTGAAGGCAGCCCTGATGTCAAGAAACACTACGATTGTTGGCCTTTGATAAGTATGGCAGTGTTCCAACATTTGGCGGAGGGTGATCAATACATCCTTGACCAGAACTAAAACCAGCCTGTTCCTCGCGAGTTAATCTTTCCCGGGTTTTAAACAACCTACGAAGTATGACGGAAGCCAATAGCTTGGATGCAATCGGAAGTAGACTTATCCCCCGATAGTGGTTACAAGAACGACGTGAACCCTTCTTAAAGATAGGGACAACTATCGACTCATTCCATGACGTTGGCACATTCTCTAGCTCCCACACCTTTGTAAACAACGTCGTCAGTTCCTTAGTCAG